GAGGTGGTTACGCCAGGGCGTGCCAGAAGCCAGGCGAAGGCTGGCAAGCCCGTGGCTGCTAAAACGGAGCTCCGGGAAATTGCTTCTGCCGGGAAGCAGCCCGCTTAGTACTTAGCGCGCTGACATGTATTCAGTCGCTTCGCTCACTCCGCCGTCCCATCTTGCATCATCGCTACTGGTTCGCCGTGGGCTCGGGGCCATTGTGGCGCCCCCGAGGAGAAGGAAGATTAGGATGGGGAAGGGGAGGGGAGGAGGAGGAGAGGATGAGAAGGAGAGTCGGATAAAGATAAGGAGGAGGAGGAGGAGGAGGAGGAGGAGGAGGATAAAGAGGAGGAGGAGGCGGAGGAGGAAGCCTCTCGTTGGCATCTTGTGTTGCTACTGGGGCCAAACAGGGTCGTCGTCAAAATGCTTCTTTGGGAGGCCTCTTGGGGTCTTTTGAGAAGCCGTTCGGGGGCGCCTGCGAGGCATTTTTGAAGCCTTCTGGGGCCTCTTGGGGCCTCTTTTGGGCCTCCTGGGTTTGGGGGCCTCTTGGCAGCATCTTGGGGCCTCTTGGGGGCCTCTCGGGGCCTCCTGGGGCCCTCTTGGGGCGGAAGGCTCGAGTTTTCGGTTCGTGGTCCCCTATTGGGCCCCTCTTGGGGCCGTCTTGGGGCTCTCTTGGGCCGTCTTGGGCGCCTCTTGAGCCGTCTCGGGGCCCTCTTGGGGCCCTCTCGGAAGCCTCTTGGCCCGTCTTGGGGTGCTCTTGGGGGCCTCTTGGGCCGTCTTGGAGCATCGGAAAGCCGAAAAGACGACAAGGCCAACATCCTTCCAAAACCATCGTAAAACATCAGGATGTTGGCCTCTCGGTGCCCTCTTGTGAGGCCTCTTGGAGGCCACTTGAAGGCCTCTTGGGCTGTCTTGGGGTCATCTTCGGCGTCTTGGAGCGCTATTTGGGCGTCTCGGGGGCCTCTTGGGCAGTGTTGGGGATGTTTTTTCTTCCGGGAGGACCGTTTTAGCAGCCGCGGATTTGCCAGCCCTCGCCCAGCTTCCGGGTGTGCTCTGCGATCGTCGCCGCTGGGGCCCGGGGAGCACGGCACCGTCCTCGCCAGGCCTCCTCCAGGGACGCGGCGAAGAGAGCTCATGTCGAGGTCTCCTCGCCCGTCGCCTCGGGTGCCCCCCCTGGGTGCCGGTTGCAGACCACGGTTGCAGACCACACTTTGCAGGCCACACTTTTCGGAATCGCCGATCCTCCTCCTCCTCCTCCTCCTCCGCCTCCTCCGCCTCCTCCGCCTCCTCCCTTTTCATCTCGAGACATGTTTTGACAACCCCAGGGCCCGGCGAGGACCCCAAGAGGTGTTCCGCCGTGAAGTGTTGCCACGGCGCGGGAGGAAGTCCGAGTCGCCCACGGGGGCGCGGAGATGGTCTCGCCTCGCGCGGCGCGGTCTGGGCCAGAGCGGGTGCCTTTCTCCAGCGAGGGGGCGCGGCGCGAGGGCGATGTGCGCGGAGTTGGGCCACCTGGGGGGGTCTCAAGGAGGAAGACGAGGAGAGGCCTGTGGAGGTCGAGTTTTTGGCGAGGAGGAGGAGCTCCTCCTCCTCCTCCTCCTCCTCCTCCTCCTCCTCCTCCTCCGCCTTCCTCCTTCGTCCTCCCCCTCCTCGGGGTCCAATCGGGCCTCTGGCTAAACTAAACATTCCTAAACGTGCCTCCTCCTCCTCCTCCTCCTCCTCCTCCTCCTCCTCCTCCTCCTCCTCCTCCTCTTACCTGCCATAGGAGAGTTCCCCACATTGTGGCACTGCGACCAGGTGAGCGACACGAAGGGCGGCCCGAAGTCGACCACCATGCCCAGCCTGCTCCACGAAGGACCCCTATCTTCGCAATTGATGCCAGACAGCCTCTTACAATTGACTCTTGGATACCTTGAACACCAGGAAAGAATAAACCTCCAGAATAAGAAGGAACACAGGACGACAGCAAGCCGCCTCCACTGGTCCATGAAAAGTGTCCTGCTGCTGCCCTCACCGCCTAAAAGCAGGGTGCACGTGTACACAGGCCTCGCAGAAGAAATGCCCGCAGTCACCAGCATCCGCGATACGGAAGAACAGGTCTGCGCCGACCTCGATGCCAATCCGGCACCCTCACAAGTGGGGCAACTGCCTGGAGTGTCATGCTTATCCCTGACCAGCTCGTGTCCCTCGAAACAGCACCTGAATTGATGGCGTTCGGGAAGCTCCTCCGCGGTCTCCGTGGCCTCGCTTTCGGAGTCTGGCTCCGAAACTTCGGCCACCTCGGCGGACTCCTCAGCGTTGGCCACCGTACCCTCTAAGCCGTTGTTGCTCGCCTCGCTGCTGCTCTCGATTAAGAAAGTGCGCCAGTGGATCTCCCTGAATACACTTAAGGGGGGGGGGGTCCAGGACCCCCCCCCCCCACCCCCCCTTGGCGCTGGAAAGGGGGGAGGGTCGGACCCCCCCCTCGTGTAGGGAGTACGGAGTTGGGAGTAGGGAGTGGTGAGTAGTGAGTAGTGAGTTAGTGCGTAGTGAGTAGTGAGTATTGGGTAGCGAGTAGTGGGTAGTGAGTGGCGAGTAGAGAGTAGGGAGTAGGGGGTGGGGAGTAGTGAGTAGTGAATAGTGAGTAGTGTGTACTGAGAAGTGAGTAGTGAGTGGCGAGTAGTGAGTAGTGAGTAGCGAGTACAGAGTAGGGAGTAGGGAGTAATGAGTAGTGGGTAGTGAGTAGTGGGTACTGAGTAGTGGGTGGCGAGTAGTGATTAGTGAGTAGTGAGTAGTGGGTAGTGCGTAGTGCGTAGTGCGTAGTGAGTGGTGAGTAGTGAGTAGTGAGTAGTGAGTAGTGAGTAGTGAGTAGTGAGTAGCGAGTAGTGAGTAGTGAGTAGTAAGTAGTGAGTACTGAGTACTGAGTAGTACGTAGTGCGTAGTGAGTAGTGAGTAGGGATGAGTAGAGACTAGTGGATAGTGGCAGTGGGTACTGAGTAGTGAGTCGCGAGTAGGGAATAGCGAGTAGTGAGTAGCGAAGAGCGAGTAGGGCGTAGTGAGTAGTGAGTAGTGGGTAGAGAGTTCTCAGTAGTGGGTACTGATTAGTGAGTAACGAGTAGGGAGTAGGGGGTAGTGAGTAGTCAGTAGTGAGTAGGGAGTAGGGAGTAGTGAGCAGTGGGTAATAAGAAGTGGGTAGCGAATAGTGGGTAGTGAGTAGCGGTTGGTGAGTAGTGGGTAGTGAGTAGTGACCAGTGAGCTGTGACTAGTGACTAGAGACCATGTAGAGAATCGGGAGTTGTAAATAGTGAGTAGTGAATAGTGACTAGCGGGGAGTCAGTAGTGAATATTGAGTAGCGAGTATGGGAGTAGCGAGTAGTGAGTACTGAGTACTGTGTAGTCAGTATTTTGTAGGGAGTAGGGAGTAGCGATTAGTGGGTAGTGAGTAGCGAGTTGTGGGCAATGAGTAGTGAGTAGTGGATAATTGGTAGTGAGTAGTGATTAGTAAGTTGTGAGTAGGGAGTAGGGAGTAGTGTTTAGTGAGTCGTGAGTATTGACTAGTGGGTAGTGAGGAGTGAGTAGTGAGTAGGGAGGAGGGAGTAGTGAGTAGGGAATAGTGAGTAGCCTGTACTGGGTGGTGGGTAGTGAGTAGGGGATGGTGAGTAGTGAGTCGTGAGTAGTGAGTAGGGGGTAGAGAGAAGTGAGTAGCGAAGAGCGAGTAGTCAGTAGTGGGTAGTGAGTAATGAGTAGTGAGTACTCTTTGGGGCTGGGGTTAGTGGTTGGGTTAGGATTAGGGGTTTGGGTTAGGGTGAGGACGATGGGTAGGGGTGGCGGGGTCGGGTTCCGGAGTCAGGGGGCGGCGTGGCGAAAGTCTGCACGAACGAGATGGGCACGGAAAGAATGGGTACGATGCCCAACAGCAGTTCCTGTTCATTTGAACAGGACTCGCTGTCCGCGCCGCCGCGGCCTGTGTCCATTTGAGACAGAAGGCCGCCTGCCCAACAGCGGCCGCTGTTGGTTCGGGACAGCATTTGCTGTTGGGCATTGTGCCCATCGTTTCCGTGCCCATTTCGGGCGTCCAAAGAAAGGGGGGGAGAGGAGGGGGGGTTGCGGCCAAAGGGTTGCGGCCAAAGGGGGGGAGGGCGGGGGGGGGTCGGACCCCCCCCCCTTTTGAAAAGGCGGGGGGGGGTCCCCGACGACGGATCGGGGAAAGGGGGGAGGGGGGGGGTCCCCGACGACGGATCGGGAAAGGGGGGGAGGAGGGGGGTTCCCCGACGACGGATCGGGAAGGGGGGGGGTCCTAACCCCCCCCCCCCTTGGGGAGATCCAGCGGCGCACCCTCCTCGATTAGCTACCACACTCCGCGCGGAATGTGAGAGTCATCCGGCCTCTGGCAAACGCCTAGCTCGAATTTCTTGGCCAAGAAGTGGGCCGCAGCTCCAGGGACGAAGCCAGAAGCCCCACGATTCCTAAGAAAAGACGGGATTCAAGCCGTGGTCCATGCTGGGCGTGCCGCAGCTCCGTGCCACCTGCACAAGAAACCTTCACCCAAGGCAGGGACCCAGCGCCACAACACGATCGGCAACCTCGGCAGGCACATCTAGGGCTAAGGCAGTGGCCGACAGCAGGTGGTCTAACTTTCCCTTGAGCTCGTCCCTCTCGGCGCTGAGGCGCTTCAGTGCGGCGTCCGCACTGGCCTGAGTGGCTTGCCGGGCGGCTGTGCGTTCCGCCCGCGAACGATTGCAGACGTCACTACGGGCATCCTCCCGCCGCCCCATGCGTCCACGAGCCCAAAAGCCTTGCTCCCCCAAGCCCCCCATGCCCGCCAAGCTGCCCCGTGAGCCTGGGGTCTCGGAGTGCGCCGGGGGACAAGGTGCAGGCCCACGAGCAGGCATGAGCCAAAATGGCTACGGACCTCCGCCTCCTCCTCCTCCGCCTCCTCCTCCTCCTCCGCCTCCTCGTCCTCCTCCTCCGCCTCCTCCTCCGCCTCCTCCTCCTCCTCCTCCGTCTCCTCCTCTGCCTCCTCCTCCTCCGCGCCTGGGCAGGGCGCATCCACGTCGGCATGGAGCGGGCGCAGCTCGACCGGCTCGGCCAGCTGGGCCTGGAGTGCAAGAAGGAGGGCCCCGGGGGGCGCCCAGGAGCGATCTCCGCACGGCGGGTTCGGAGGGCCAGCTTGAGCTGAGATAAGGGTGGCGCCAAGCATGTACGGTGTACGGCAAGCAGTTTACGACATTTTGAAAGCTCGAGGACACGACGCCCCCCTGGGCATCCAGAAGCCTTTCATCTATTGTCTTGGAAGGCCTGTTGAGGAAGGAGACCGCAGGAGTGTTTGGCGAGCAGAGCGGATGAGGGGCGGGGCGCTGTCGGTCGCACAGTTGCACGGCATGTCGAAAGAATCGATTGGGGAGTCACACCGCCAGGTAGGTTGATGAAGGAGGAGGGGGAGGGAGGAGGGGAGTGGGGGGGGGGAGAAGGAGGGGGGAGGACAAGCTAGGTGCGCTCGCGTCATATCTGACATCCTACCCCTCCCATCCCTTACCATGGCGCAGTTCCCCTCTCTACTCGCTCAGTCGGATGTCGAGCAGGGGAATGATCCCGAAAGGGTACGCGATGCATTGTAGAGCACGGCATGGCATGGCGTAAAAGAGCACTGCAAAGCGTAGTATCAACTTAGCATTGCATTGCATTGCATGCCGTGGCATGGCACGGGAAAATGACGCCAGCGCTGCAGCGGGAGCACGAGTCGAAACGAGCGGAAGCGCGGAAATGAGGCCAGCGCTGCAGCGGGAGCACGATTCGGAAGCACGGAAATGAGCCCAGCGCTGCAGCGGGAGCAGGATTCGGAACGAGCGGGGCCCGAAAATGAGGCCCGGCGCCTCAGCGAGAGCAGCATTTTGGAAAAACATGCAGGCGGAAACCCAACTCTGGGGAAACCTCTGTGTTAAAAACAGTACGCGGGGGGGGGGTCGGCCATTTTCAAACCGTCATCAGGGGAAGAGGGAGAGTAGTATTCATATTGAGCAATTGTGGAGGAAGAGGAAAGGGGGTGAGGAGGGGGGAGGGGAAGGAGGAGGGCTGGCGGAGCCCGACGCCGAACCGCATCGATCGAACCGAAGTGGGCCCTGCCGGGGCGAGATCGAGGGCCGGGGGAGGGGGGGAGGGAATGAGGGAGAGGAGGAGGAGGAGGAGGAGGAGGAGGAGGAGGAGGAGGAGGAGGAGGAGGAGGAGCAGTAAGGAGGAGGGGGGCAGCAAGAGGAGGGGGGAGGGGAAGGGGAGGGCGACAGAGGGGGGAAGGCGGGGGGGGCTCCGCCCGTTGATCACGGCAACACCTCCATTCCCGAGTTGGAGAAACTGGTGGATCTCCTCACGAAGTGCGGTGACACGATGGGGGCGCGGAAGCATCAGCTCATTCTGGACCAGAAGCGCCGTGCTGCCACAGCCCCCGCTGTCCCGCTACAGGCTAAGGTCAACAAGGCTTTCCACGACCTCCGTCAGCTTCGTGATCGTACCGACAAGGCCTGCAACGTCTATGAGAAGATGGAGGCTGAGTTGGTGTTGCAGCGGGGCCGCATCCAGACCCTCACGAACGAGCTCAAGCAGGCGGAGGAGGCGCACACGGCCTTGGTGGAGCAGCTCCACAAAGAAGTCGCACCTCCTTCGTCTTCAGGCCCGCCTCCAGCTGCCTGTCTGGACATTGCGGCCATCATCCAGGGCAAGGCTGAGGAGATCCCGATCTCGATCGACTCGCTGCTGGCCCCTCAGAATGACTATGAGATTGCTGGCGACGACCTTGAGGAGGCGAATCGCAGGGCGCAGGAGCTCAAGCAGTCTCTTCAAGATGCAGTTCGTAAGTTGTTCGGCGACGCGCTGGTCAGGACCCAAGCCTTCCAGGCGGACCAGCAGAAGATGCTCGAGCGGCTCGCCTCCAAGCGGAGGCGCAAAGATGGAGACGAAGCAGCGGAGCCAGCTGCGGGAGATGGAGATCCTGCTCCTACTGCCGCTGCCGCCGCCGCGGGCGGCGACAACGTGGCTGCTGCTGGGGCAGCCGCCTCTGCCCCCCAGGCTGAGGCTCCAGGGGACGGCGTTGCTGCGGATCCCGACCGTGCAGATGTACGAGCCCGTGCTGAACGCCTGCTGTCACATGTCCCCCCCCCCCCCGCGGCTGAGGGGCAGCGGGGGGGCACAGCTGCAGCCTGAACATCTTCATCTGAGCCACTCTGACGGACTCGCGCCTGTCTCTGCAGGCCAGCCGTCCAACTTGTCTAACTTTATTCTTTCGGCCTCTCGGCCTCACCTCCGTCGTTTCCTCCGCTCCCGCGTTGCGCGTCCTTCAGGCTGTGGCCTGAAGGCTGCTGTTCGTCACACGTGCTGGAGGACCAAACGAATTTTGTCTGGTGAGTGTCAGAGGTTCGACTCCCTGCAGGTTGCCCTATCCAAGCCTGCCGATTTTGCTCGGCCTGGCCCAGCTTACCCAGTGTTGGCTGCGCCTGGCTCTCAGTACCCGATTGAGGTGGTGCCTGGTCCCAGGATCTCCCAGGCTCCCCTCCCGTGCTCCTCCCTTGCCCCTCCTGGCTTCCTGGAGCCCGACGGGATGAGCTCGGTCGCTTTGTCTGTTCGAACCCTCAACTGCAACAGTTGGGGCACCCTGAAGAAGATGTTACCTCACACGCCTTCGGCGGTCCTGCTGGTGCAGGAACACAGATTGGCGGGCAGTGAAGAAGTTGCTCAGGCCTCCTCTTGGTGTGCTCGTAATGGCTGGAAATCGTTGTGGACCCCAGCCGTTCTCACGGAAAACGGCACGTCTGGGGGCACTGTTTTGCTTGTGAAAAGTTGGCTTGGCCTTTACCCCCCTCCCTCTGGACGCGCTATCGTTCCAGGGCGGGCTACCCATGGGGTCATTCAGGTTCCAGGCGGTCCCAGCTACCACATGTTTTCGGTTTACCTGCATGATGGGGAAGGTTTGACCGAGCGCAATCTTGAGCTCTTAAGTTGTGTCGGCGCCTGTGCTTCCGCGTGCTGCTCCAGTTTTGTTGTGGGCGGAGACTTCAACGTCTCACCGTGCGAGCTGGAGAGTAGCAAGTTTGTTTCTCAGCTTCAGGGCCAGCTTATCAACCCTGGAGGCCATGCTCATTTTGGTCAGGGGGCCCCCTCCACCCTGGACTATTTTGTTTGCAGTGGGGGGCTGGGGAAAGCCGTGGATTCTTGCTGGATCGATCTGACGACGGAGCTCAGTCCCCATCGTCCCGTGGAGCTTCAGTTCCACCGATCCCCTGCTACCCTCAAGGCCCTCAGTTTCAGGAAGCCCCCCCCTCTGCCGAGAGACCGCGTCATAGGTCCGATGCTGCCCCCTCCGTGCTGGGATCACGTGATCTCGCGAGCTCAGGCTGGTCTTGACGCGGTCGCAGCAGGCGACGCCGCGGCTGCCCTCAGCCACTTGTCGCCGGCTTACGGAGCTTGGGCCGATAAGGCGGAGGAGGAGCTGGTCCATTTGTTGGGGGCGGACCTGGTGAAGGCAGGATGCAGGAGTAAGGGGCCTCAGCTCGCGCGGCGCAGCTTAGTGGGCCGAGATTCACAGCCAAGGTATCCTGAGCACCGCGCCATCTGCTGGCTGGTGGCTCAGTTTCGCGCGTTTATGGGGCTGCAGCGGGCCGACCAAGGTTGCGGGAGCCAGGCCGCCAGCTTGCATGCTTTGCTTGTCAGCCCCCCTCCTGCGATTTCTCGTCATTCGAGCAAGTATGCCACCTCTTTCAGCCGCGTGGAAGACTTTACTGCTGCTTTGCAGGGCGATCTCCGCCAGGCCCCTTCTGGGCAAATTGTGAAAGGTGACGAGCTTCTTGGCACCCTTGTCTCTGTCTTGGAAGGGGCCAATGGGGAGTTTCGGGCCCAGGCGCAGTCTGACTGGAGAGCCTGGCTCACGGAGGGCCTCGATCAAAGGGGCCCGTCGGGTGCATGCGATAGTCCGTGACCCCACCCCTTGGGTCCCCACCACGACCCTTGCCAGAGATGGGCCTGTTGTGGCCGACCCCCTTTCGCTGCTGTCCGATGAAGGCACCAAGTTTGCCAGGTTCTGGAAAGATGGCGCTGGCAATCCTGCGAGTTGCACTCTTGTGGAAGCTCCCCCCAGGGCTGATCCCGCTCAGTTGCGGGCTGTTAGCAAGAAATATAAGAGAACCTCGGCTGTCACTTACGACGGGTTTGATTGCCGTCACTTTCACCTTCTGTGTGATGCTGGGCTGGTTGCGCTTGGCATGCCCTTTCAGCTGATGGGGTCGGTTGGCCAACTTCCGCGCCAGATCTCCGCGGCGTTGATTGCCCTGCTCTCGAAACCCAGCGGTGGCTACAGACCGATAGGGGTGTTCTGCTCCTGGTATAGGGTCTGGGGGCGCCTCAGGCGTCCCCAAGCCTTACACTGGGAGCAGCAACGCCCCCGTCGGTACTGGGCTGCTGGGGCGTTTCGTGGAGCTGCGGATGTGGTCGGGCGTCAATCGTTTCGCTCGGAGACGGGGACCTCTAAAGGGGAAGAGAGTGCCAGCGTCTTCTATGACATGCTCAAGTATTATGAAACGATTGATTTAGACGTGTTAGAGCAGCGTTGCCACCAACACAATTTCCCGATAGTGTTGACTAGGCTTACCCTTTATGCGTACAGGTGCGGCCGCTTCGTCTCCATCGCCGGCCTCTTGGATGGGCCGCACTTTGTGCAGAAAGGAGTCATCGCAGGCTGCAGCATGGCCACGACTCATATACGCATATATGGTATGTCTTCTTTCGATAAGCTCCCCTCGTTTCCTTCTCAAGACTTCGACATCTATATTGATGATGCTGGAGTGTCTTGCACGGGGTCCCGAAAGCATGTGATTTCTTCCATAGTTGCCGTCTCTCTCGCTCTCCATCATGCTATTACTGATGAGAATGAAATGAATTGTCAGCTGGCGCTAGACAAGATATGCACTGTTGCGTCCTCCAAAGGCCTGGCCACCGCGCTGGCTGCTGCTCTTGGTCAGTTTGGAGGCAAGTTCACTGCCTCGACTGTGAACCTAGGAGTTGACTACTGTGCTGGCACCTCGGTCAGGGCCCCAGGGCGGAGCTCGAAGCTCAAGAGCCGCGTGGCGCTTCTTTGCAGGAAAGCTCGTCGTCTCAAGCGTCAGGCAGGCAACCTTGGTCGCAAAGCCCTCAGAGTGTTCGCTTCGGGCCCCCTCCCTGGAGGGGCCTACGGGGCGGACATCCTGGGGGCGAGCGACCAGGTCCTCCTGACTATGAGGCGGCAAGCCTTCAAGACGGTGAGGCCTTTTGCTAAAAGTAGGTCTCTTACGGCTGTCAGCATCCTGTCGGACGACCCTTGCTGGCGAGCTGCGTCGGCCCCCATCCTGCGCTGGAGCAAGGAGGTCTGGTTGGCCCAAACCCGTGAGTTCCCCTGGCCCATTCCCCATAGGGAGCTCCGAGACGGCTTCAGGAGTGTTTTCGCGTTGCCCAGGGTTACTTGGCCTACTGTGAAGGGCCCTGTGTCTGCTCTTCGCCTTACCCTCCTTCGCCTTGGTTGGACCATGGAAGACTATGCCACGATTTCCGATGACCGAGGTTACCGTTTGCAGCTCGGTTTGATTCCCCCCAAGCTGTTGGAAACCTTGTGCAAAGAGGCCTACCTTCGTGGGCTCGAGCGGGATCTTGGGGGTAAATGGGGGCTTGAATGCAGGGCGTGCCTGGACATTCCCAAAGCTGCTTGTGTCAGTAAGAAGTTCACGCCAGCGCAGAGGGGCTGGATTCGAGCTATTCGGCCTGCGGACAAGGCCCTGGCATGCGGGTATCAGGTCGACCCGCTCTGCCCTCTATGCTCTGCTGCGCCCGACTCAGTGTTTCACAGGCTTTGGCAGTGCACGGCGACGGAAGCTCAAGAGTCGCGGACTCAGCTGGTCCCGGCCTCAGTCGTGCTAGACGCCATCGCCGCGCGGACAGCTCAGGCGGAACCTGACCCTCACGTGCGAGCACTATATACTAGAGGAGCTTTCGCTCATCCCGCTGACGTTTTGCCGCGTCCTGTCGTGGAGGGAACGAATGCCCTTCAGTTCGTCTGGCATTGTGACGAGCTTCAAAGCCCTGAAGGTCCCAGGGTCCCAGTGAACGGGGAAATGTGGGGTCACGTCTTCATAGATGGGTCCTGCCAGCGCCACCCGATCAAGGAACTTTCAAGAGCTGCCTATGCTATTTCAATGGACGCCGAGGATGGCACTTGCCTTGGAGAGGCGAGAGGCCCTGTCTGGGCTCATCTTCCTCAGACGCCTCAGGCGGCTGAATATGCTGCCAGATGTGTCGCCGCTCAGTTCCTGGTGTTGCCGACCACAATTTACTCGGACTGTGCCAATGTTGTGTCTCATAGTACGTTGCCCTTGCCAGAGAGGTACTCGGGCAAGAGGTCGTATTCAGGAATGATCATGTGTGCCAACAACTTTGAGGGCCGCTTTTTGGAAGGCATTGTAAAGGTCAAAGCTCATTTAGATGTTCACCAGGAGGGCATCTCGGAGAGAGAACGTTTCCTCAGGCGTGGAAATGCTGATGCTGATGCGGGGGCCAAACATGCCCTTCAGCTCCACCCTTCTGACCCGTCTGAATTAGCCAATGTAGACAAGCTCGTGGAAGCGGCCAGGGGTTATTGCATCCTTGCTGCTAACTTGCTTCCATTATGGCCTAAGCTCTCTCTCGACGTTCCTTATTTCCCTCCTCCTCCTGCTGAGCATTTAGGCTCCTTCGGTAAGGTAGGTCATCGTTGGGAAGTCTGGGCTGGCGTCTGGAGGTGTGCAGTTTGCCTCCGTGGGGGTAGGGGCACGTCACGCCCTTCCCCTGGTAGATGCCCCCAGGAGTCTAAGTTGCATGCCGCGAGGCAGGAGGCTCTAGGGCACAGAACTGTTGCCTTTGACTGTTCAGATAAGTCAGTGTTATTCATATGCCTGAAATGCAAATGCCACTCCACTGGTGGCAGGATTAGAGGCCTAGGGGAAGTCTGTAAGAAGCCTTCCCGCGCGGGTCGTCAGGGTTGGGCTGCTTTGTGTAAGGGTATTCATCCGCACTACTCCAGGTCGAGTAAAGGTGTCACAGTTGATGATGCCTCTCTCGTGCGTTGCTTCAACTCGTATTTGGTTTCGAATCCTGATTTTTCGGAGGAAGGGGACAAGAGCTCCGCGCCCTCTGGCTCGACTGGCAGTGCTGCCAGCGCTGGAGGGCAGGAGCATGCCCGCCCCACAGAGCCTGCTACTGCATCTGTTGCAAGCGTTCCTGTCTGCAGCGTTGCGCCCAGCTCTTCCTCGAGCGATGTGGTCGCCTCGGCCCCAGCCACCAGGGAGTGCTTGAGGCGCATTGCCGCTTCTCTCCGCTGCGAGGCGGACGATATGGGAACGGGTGGGGCTGTGGAGGCGGGGTCGGGGGATTCGGATTGACTTGCAGCGTTCTTGCCTGCCTTTTTCTTTTGGCAGGCGTGAACCCGTTTTCTTGTTCGTGTGGTTGCCGTCGCAGCCACCCCCTCTAATTTTGTTTCTGTTCTCAATCTTATCCTCGGCCGTGCTTTGCCTCCTTGGCCTTCAGGCTGTTGTGGCATAGGTTGCGGCTTCGCGATCTAAGCGGCGACCGCCTGCCCGCTCAGGATGCCCTCCGCGTTGCCGATCGTTTTTCCAGCTGAGGGTCAGCTGGTGCCTGTTTTTCTCTTGTCATTCGCCGCTTATGGCAGGTATGGTTACTTGTGTGGCGAGTTGTTTTTTCTTGTGCACTGTCTCTGGCGTGTCTGCCAGACAGTGAGAGCCCGAGCCGAGGGTCGATCCGTGCGGGGAGGGGGCCATAGTGGGCGCTCCGAAAGGAACTCGCGAAGCCCCCTCCCCATAGCGGCTCTCGCCGAGGCGAGGTCTTCTCAGAGCTGGCAGGTCCCGCCTTGCCAGTTGCTTGCACTATGCGGTGGGCCCGTGGAGGTCAAAAAGGAGCTCCACGCGATTGTGTTCTTATTCATTGCTTTGCCGATCTGCGCGGGCCCCCTCCCTTCCCCCTCCGCCCCCCCCCCCATTGCGTAGATCTCGGCTGTTTTCGGCGCCTGTTTCGAGCAGGTGGAGTCTCCCCCACAGGACGCACTCTTGCAAACAGTCGCATCAAGCAGAGGCCCGGAGCTAGATCCCCCCCCCCCCCTCCGCCCAATGCCGAAATGCTGAATAAGAAAACGTTCACGTAGGGAATCGACTGCAACACTGATTTACCCCAGAATGATTTGTTCGTCGAGCTTACGAAAGATGCGCAGAATGCTCCGTCGATTCTGTGGCTGATCCCCTCCTCGAAGGAAGAGGGAGGGGGGAGGGCTGTGGGCCGGGCGGGGGCGAGGAGGGGAGGGCGCATGGAGGCGGGGCCCACGCGCGGAGGAGGCCGAAGGGAGGCGGGAGGCGGGGAGCGGCGGCCGGTCGGACCTCCTTCCGCTCCCTCCCTCCGCTCCCCTCCCCTCCCTCCCTGCCCTCCCTCCTTACCCTCCCTCCTCCCTCCCCTTCCCTCCCCCTCCCTTCCCTCCCCCCCTCCCCTCCCTCCCCCTCCCTTCCCTCCCTCCCTGCCCTCCCCCTTTCCCATCCCTCCTCCTCCCTCCCCTTCCCTCCCCTCCCCTCCCTCCCACCTCCCCTCCCTTCCCGCCCTCCCTCCCTCCCCTTCGCAGGTGTCCCGCCGAGACCTCGCCTCCGTGGTGGGCGCACGGGGGAACGGGGCCACGACGGTCTCGGCCACCATGCTGCTCGCGCACCACGCGGGCGCGCCCCCAGAGACTGTAGAGGTAGTATGAGGAGGAGGAGGAGGAGGAGGAGGAGGAGGAGGAGGAGGAGGAGAGGGCTGGGTCGAGGAGCAGGATGAGCAGGACGTCGGCAACGACGACGACGACGCCGACGCCGACGCCGACGAGGACCAGGGCAACAACGAGGATGAGGAGAGGAGCAGCTCCACTGATCTGCGGAGATGTTCACTGCCAGCACGCACTCAATGATGATGGTCGTTCGTGTGAGAGAGATGCGGGCTCGGCGTCCCTCGCTCAGAAAATGGGGCGACTGAACACTCCATGTTTCGATGTAAGATATGTGGGCGGCGTCATTTGGGAACCCCCTCTTGGGCAGCAGATGCACATACACACGCTTGAATATCACGCCGGGCTGAAGATGTGGGTTTGTGCCTCCTGCGAGTATTATGCCACCCAGCAGCTGGCTAAGTTGTCGGGTCAGTGTCGTCACATTGTGGATGGCAATCGCAAGGATTACTTAGTTCGTATCAGGCAGGGCTTTCGGCCCATGGCTTACAGCTTACAGCAGAGCTGAGCTCTGCAGGCGGAGCCTGGACTGCCTCGCATACTGTTCCAGGGTCTTCAGTGACCGACATGGCCGCATTATCCATAATTCCTCCTCCTCCTCCTCCTCCTCCTCCTCCTCCTCCCTCCTCCTCCTCCCTCTTCCTCCTCCTCCTCCTCTTCCTCCTCTCCTCCTCCTCCTCCTCCTCCTCCTCCTCCTCCTCCTCCTCCTCCTCCTCCTCCTCCTCCGTCTCCTCCCCCTCCTCCCTCCGCCTCCTCCTCCTCCGCCTCCTCCTCACCCTCTTCTTCCTCTTCCTCCTCATCGTCCTCATCCTCCTCGGGGCAGGGGGGGGGGAAGGAGAGAGGGGGGCCTGGAGCATCGTAAAGTGGGGGGAGCAGGGAGGGGGCATCCGCCAGTTGTCGGCCGCGAGCGAGGGGGGGAAGTGAGAAGGATAAGGCCCTCTCAGAAGGCGGCGGGACTTCTCAGAAGCCCGCCGGCCTTCTGAGAGGTTTTCTGTGTCTTCGGGGAAGGCTTTGAAAACTTCTCAAAAGGCTGGGGACTTCTGAGCCTTGTGAGAAGGCCTTCTCCTTCTCACTTCCCTCCCTCGCTCGCCGCCAATGAAGGGGGGAAGCAGGAAGGGGGCATCCGCCAGTTAGCGCTGATGGAGCAGAAGGCAAGACAACCATTCTTAACGCTTCGCGTGCAGCTGGATCGCCGAAAGAAGGAGCAGCTTGGCTTCGGAAGATGCTCGCTGTTCCCCGGGTCCTTCCATGGCTGCTTTGTTTGGCGCTCCGCGTCCACGCAGGCCTTGTTGGCATCAAACACGGGCGTCGTTCCTTATCTGGCGCTCCGACTGTATCCCCACCAGCCCATCCAGACGATGCCCGACGGAGCTGCCCTCAACTCTGATAGGCATCTTGGGGTGTCTTGGAGGCCTCTTGCCGGCTCTTTGGAGGCCTCTTGGAGCGTTTCGGGTGCCTCTCGGGGGCTTCATGGGGGGCATCTCGGGACTTTTCTGGTGCGTCTCGGGGCCCTCGGGGGTCTCTCTTGGAAGCTTTGCATGGAGTCTTCGAGGCGGTCGATGGGGGGGTCCTCAATTCACCATCCGAAAAGGCTAAAATGGACAAAATCATTCGGAAATGATGGTTGGCTGCTTTCTCGCTGAGGCCATCTTGGACGCTCTGAGTACCCACGAGTGCCCCTCCGCCATGGCCCAGGGGAGGAAGTAGAGGAAGGGTCAAGTTACCCCAAGCCGCAAGACGTGTCGCCCACTCCCACCCGCCCTCCCACTGCACCCGAGTCGCAGCACAGGTAGGGGCCGCCAGCGACAACCATCGGGAATCAATTCAGACGCCAGCCAGGTGCGTGATGCTTGCGAGGTGCGCCGCACGTGCCAGGTGCGCCACGCGCACCAGGTGCGCCACGTTGGGCAATAGATCGACCGCCACACCATCCCTGCGGAAAACCAATGGACAATGACGGCGGCTTTACGAGAATCGTGTGCTGTGTGTGCGGGGGTGTGCGCCCGCAATCCCTTTGCACGTGTATTCGACAGGGCTAGCAGGCTGGCGCGCATCATGCAGTATGCCGCCCCCCCCGCTGCCGCCGGCAGAGTGATTTGTTTGATGCTTTTGTGTTGAAAGAGGTGGTGGTCCTGCGCGCCGCAGGCAGCATGCCAGCCCCCCGCCGGCCCTGCCAAAAACCAGTGCAGAGTGATCGCGGGACGTCCGTGCATTTCAAGCAGTGGCAAAGCGTCTTAGCTCGCCTATAGGCCTACCAAAGACTGTTCTAAGAACCGTTTGTGGTTCGCACGAAATGTTCTAAAAACATGTCTACTGATACTGCCTTGCTTTAACACATCGGGCTTATGTTCTAAGAACATTGTTTTGTTATTAGAACATGTTGGGGTTCTAAGAATATTTCGTGGTGGGCCTGCAGGAATGCCAGGAGTGCCGGGACGGTCGGTGCCTGCTCAAGAATGATCCAGATTTTAATGCAAAGTGCATGTTGCGTTTTGTTGTAAAGGGGTGGTAATTAGGGGGGGCATTGCAAGAAGCTACTTCGAAGTAATTGATCGCGAGACTATCGCACATCATTCAGATGTTTGTGCAAAGTGCGTTCAGTCTTGTTTTTGCCAGGAATCGTCGGGGGGTCAGCAATGCAAGAAGCAGGCAGAATCCCCGTACCCCCGCCGTCCCTGTCAAAAATCCATTGCAAAGTGATCGCAGGGCGTCCGCGCATGATCCAGACTTTGGTGCAAAGTGCACTTTGTGGTGTTTCTTGACAGAAATGGCGAGTGGGTGTTGGTTTGGTCCTCGGTTTAGCGCTGGTCGAGTGGGGGAGGTGGCGTACATCAAGAAGGAACAATGATCAGGCTCCCAGCGAGAACACCGCAGGCCGTGTCGCTCACTCCCACCCGCCTTCCCACTACAAAAGTAGCACCCGAGGCCATCGACAACCATCGGGAACAAATACAGACGCCAGCCAGGTGCGCGAAGCCCGCGAGCTGCGGCGCACGTGCCCTGTGTGCCACGCGCCCCAGGTGCGCCACGTTGGGCAATGTGTCGGCCCCCACACATACCTGTAAAACCAAGGCAAAGTGACGGGAGATTTGCGAGCATTGTGTGTTGTGTGTGGGCGTGCGCCCACCATTATTTTGCACTCGTTTTTGACAGGGATGGTGGGCCTGCACGCAGCAGGCAGTATGCCGACCCCCCCCCGCCGTGCCCGGCAGAGTGAGGTTTTGATTTGACTGTTGACAGGGACGGGGGGCCTGCGCACAGCAGGCAACATGCTGTCCCCCCGCCAGCCCTGTCAGAACCAAAGCAAAGGGATCGCGGGGCGTCGACACATGCTCCAGATGTTGGTGCAAAGTGTGCGTTGCATTGTTTCTGCAAGGGACGGTGGATAGGGGTCGGCATGGCGACCAGCAGGCAATATGCCGGCACCCCCGCCGTCCCTATCAAAAACCGTTGCAAAGTGATCGCGGATCAGAGCCCCGAATCATCAGGGGTAATTCGGGTCAGGGCTAACTCGGGTTCGTTTTTCGGGAATCCGAGCCCGAGTTACCCCTGGCCCGAGTTACCCTGGGTAACTCGGGCGTCCAGAGACCCAAATCATCAGGGGTAACTCGGGTCAGGGCTAACTGGGGTTCGTTTTTGCGGGAATCCAAATCCGAGTTACCCCGGACCCGAGTTACCCGAGTTACCCCGGATAACTCGGGCGCCCAAATGATCCAGATGTTCCCCGATAGTTCTGAGAGGGCTAAAATGGTTGTGACATTAGACGCCGGCACCGCAGGGTGGCCAGCGGAGGTCGTGCCGGCTTCCGGCAGGGAGGGCCGCTGCGGCTCTTGCGAGAGATGCAGCTGGTCTCGGCAGGCCTTTTCTAATCGTTTCCCAGTACGTGTGTCGTCAAGTTTCCCACTGTCTCTTTTCCAGAGCTTCAGAGTTTCTTGGAAGGACCTTCCAGATGCTTCTGTCCTCTTGCTATCAAAGTGTTGGATACCACAAGGTGGTGCCAAGTGCACGTCGCACTGTTTGCGAGAGATGGGGGGGGTCGGCACAATAGTGAGCATACTCAGATGGAGCAGTGCTAAATTCCCTTTTTGAAGGGGCAGAAGGGGGGAGGATGAAAAAGGAAACGGCCTAATCCACTTCAGTCCGGAGTGCTGGTTGCATGTGGGGTTTAACAAAAACAGCACCAGATCGGCGATAGCACTCCTCCACGATGAAGAGGATGAAGATGATAATGTTGATGCTGATATGGATGCTGCTGTTACTGCAGATGATTATCATGGTCGTGGTGGTGGTGATGGTGATAATTATGATGGTGGTGATAACGGTGATGGTCATGTTGATGCTGGTGTTGATATCCATGATGATGATGATGATGATGACGATGATGATGATGATGATGATGATGATGATGATGATGATGATGTTGATGATGATGATGATGATGTTGATGATGATGATGATGATGGTGATAATGGTGATGATGTTGTTGTTGATGATGATGATGATGGTGGTGGTGATGCTGATGTTTATGTTATTGATGGTGATGATGACGATGATGATGATGACGATGGTGATGGTGATAGTAATGGTGATGATGGCTCGGCGATGATGGTGACTTGGCTTGGCTTGGCTTGGCTTGGCTTGACTTGACGACGAAGACGACGACGACGACGACGACGACGACGACGACGACGACGACGACGACGAGCGGCGAGCGGCGAGCGGCGAGCGGCGGCCGCCGGCGCCGCCCCAACGGCAGGCATCCCCCTGTTTGTGACCGGGGGCATCGGCGGCGCGCACCGGGGCGCGGCCGAGACCTGGGACGCGCGCGCCCTGGCTCCCCAGTGCTCTTCTTGTCTTCAGAGAAGGAGGAGGAGGAGGAGGAGGAGGAGGAGGAGGAGGAGGAGGAGGAGGAGGGGCGGAGGAGGAGGGAGGAGGAGGAGGAGGAGAGGAGGAGGAGGAGGAGGAGGAGGAGGAGGAGGAGGAGGAGGAGGGGAGGGAGGAGGAGGAGGAGAGGGAGGAAGGAAGGAGGAGGAGGAAGAAGAAGACGAGGAGGAGGAGGAGGAGGAGAGCAGGAGGAGGAGGAGAGGAGGTGGAGAAGGAGGGGAGGGGGAGGAGGAGGAGGGAGGAGGGAGGAGCGAGGAGGAGGAGGAGGAGGAGGAGGACGAGGAGGAGGACGAGGAGGAGGAGGAGGAGGACGAGGAGGAGAAGGGAGGAGGAGGAGGAGGGAGGAGGAGGAAGGAGGGAGGAGGGAGGAGGGAGGAGAGAGGAGGGAGGAGGGAGGAGGGAGGAGGAGCCCCACGGGCCTGGTCAGATCTCAGGGCGCCTCAAAAAACAAAGGCCTGGGCGCGCCAGTTCTTCAAGGACCTGGGGTATCTTGAATGCACGGAGTAGGGAAGGCAGGTGTTAGAGCTGACGGAAGGGGATTGCCCGAATGTCTTCCGCGGGAAGAGGCGCCTCTCATGCGTTTTCAAACATTCGACGTCCCTTGATTGCGGGCCGAGCGGCTCCTCTGCGAGGCCCCCCCTTAAGGTGCCCTTCCCGAGCCCGGTAAATTGGCCGAATGGGGTTTTACTTGTGCTTTGATCATTGGCGATGGTCTCATGTGCGACCGCGAGTTCTGCCCGCGCCGCTCGCTCCTCGCTCATCAGCGCCAGGCCTCTGGTGGCCAATGCGGGGCCCCGTCCGTGGTGTCGGAGCTCGTGGCCACCAACCAGGGCATCGCGTGCTCGTCCACCTTTCGCTGCCGTGATACCGCCGTTCGTCGTCGTCTGACCAGGGCCTATCGATACGGCGTTGCCGCGTGGACTCGATGACCCTCCGATCGTGGGCCCAGAGTTTCGAGTGTGCCCCGAATGTCACGAGCCTTTTTTGAGCTTCTCGAGAAGTTGCAGAAGCACGTTGACGCGCATCTGCGGCGTCCACTCCCAGAGCTCGTCTGGCATGCTCTCGGCGGCGCCTGCTGCGACGTCGTCAGAACCGAGTGACGGCACTCGGCGGCGAGAGCGCCCCGACGAGCAAGGAGGCGGCCGAGGCGCGAAGAATGCCGGCGCAAAAGGAGGCGTCGACCAGCTCGACGCGCTCGAGCTCGATCAAGTCAAGCGCGCGGTCGGGGGAGAAAAAGATACGGATACGTGTTGTCCCCCTTCGTTTTCGGCCTTTCCTGGTCCTCCTGGGGAATCCTCGTTGTCACCGCTGGATTCGCCTCGAAATTCTGGTCAGAACGCACCCCAAGAGAGGTCCGGGGACAACACGTATCCGTATCTTTCCGCCCCCCAACGCGGTTCCAGTGCTCATGAAATTTGTTATTGAACATCAAGATGGGGCAGAGGAAGACCGAGGCGATGACGCTCGTAGCGTTGCTGATGCCTGAGGCCGTTGCCCCCATAACGGAGAGCCGTCTCGCGTGAAGGCGCGGGCGGAGTCGGCCCAGGAGCAAGGATTTGGAGATCGAGGAGGCCACGGGCACCAACCGTCTCGCTCGCGGCGCTGGTGGGGCTTGCGGAGGGGCGCAGCGAGGCAGGCCCAATCGTCGGCGCGGCGAACCAGCAGAAGTTTGGAGAGCGGCGCCAAGAAGTGTCGCAGTTCTCGCTCCCAGACGCATTACAGAAGTACCCATTCGCGAAGGTGCAGGCCGCTCACAAGAGCAACGCGGTGAAAGTGCTGACGACCAACGATTCTTCATTGAACGCGTTGATCGATTCCTTGGAGCAGCTCGGAGCGGAGAAAAGGTAAGAGTAGCGCCCATGAACCACATGGGGAGAGTGCTTCAAACAGTCTTGATGAGCGGAGAGGTGGGTGACCTGTGATAAGCCCTGGTGAGAGTATGGATATGCAAAACATGTTTCGGCTGTTGATCTTCATGATCATATTTCGAGCTATTGTGCTTCGACGTCGTGCGACGAAGGATGCGCGTATCCGTGACCACAGGTAGTGGGTTTACGGGGCCTAGAACGTCGGGATCGGCGACGGTTTCTAGGACTGCGTTTGAGGCCCGCCCGACTGCCGCCGCCCAGGCCGCCGCCTCGTCTTCCTCCTTTCCTCCTCTCTCGCCTCCTCGTTCCAAACGGGTCCGCACCCACCAGGACACCGTTCAGGTCTTTTAACTCGGGTTTCGGTGATAGCCTGTCTGGGTCCGTTGCCCACGTCGCTGGTCCGCCTCGCAGCCCGCGGGCGCCTGGGACGCTTCTCTGCCTCCCGCCCTGCCCCGACCCCTGCCACCTGGCCTCAGGCGGTCACGCTGCAGTGCCCCTTTCACTGCCTGCTTTCGCTGCTCCCGCCCCCGCACGGCTCAGTGCTGTGCGTTCTCCTCAGGGCGCCGCGGTACTACGCTCGCGGTGTCTCTTGTGCTCCCCCAGCCCCTGGCAGGTTGCCACTCCACGCCAACTTTGCCCCCGTGGTTTGCCACGGCAGCCCACCGCGCTCTGACATGGCGCGCATGGCTGCTGCCGCCCGCCGGCTGCTCATCGTCGAATTCTTCGGCGTCTGAGCGTCCATCCTTCTTCTCGTCGGCCTCCCCCCTTTTTCCTTGCACGCCCGCCAATTCGCTAGTCAGTGCCCCTACCTAGCTGTTACGCTGGTGCGGATTTCGCCGCCTCGCCGCTTACGAAAAAGTCTGGGTCCGCTGCCTGTCTCCTGGGGTTCAGGGGTTAGTTTGTGTCGAATCCTGGGGCTCTGAAGCTCGGCATGAATGTGGCGGGCTGGAGGCCCTAATTTTGCGGCACTTGTGTCGGTCCTGTGGCGCTTGCTCTGCGTGCGAAGTCACCATATGCCCCCACAGGAGTCTGTTTGTCCTCCTCCGCCTCCTCCTCCTCCTCATCCTCATCCTCATCCTCCTCCTCATTCTCCTCTTCTTCGTGATGCGAAAGTCCAAGAAATGTTGCTGTGGCACGATTTAGCACAGTCAGGACGATAGGCCACGTTGATTCGTGGGGTTGGATTCCCCGGAATGGTAATCTGATGCGATCTTGGATTGCCAGGTCGCGTCGGTCACATTGGTTCACGGCGTCAAAGTTCCAGGAATTGCGTTTTGGCACGATTGTGGATGTTCAAACGGTTGTCTTCCGATGGGGCATTTCCCGTCATGAAAATACAGTTGTTGAGAGACCTATCGAGGGGGAGTTTGGAGGAAGGGCTGATTGCAGCATCATTGATGCGCCCTGGGTTTACAGTGGTCCTCCTCCTTTTCCTCCTCCTCCTCCTCTTCCTCCTCCATATCCTCCTCCTCATCCCCTGCCTCCCTCCCCAAACACGCTCGCGTCGTTAAAAATCACGACGGTGGGGGGTTGGCTGTTTTCGGCCTCCGGGGCTCCTCGCCAGGCCCCAGAACAGTAAAGAAACGACTCGTGATGAAAGCCAAACCCACAGAAGAGTGCGGGACTTCCGGGGGCCCGCGTTGAAACAAATCAGGGCGCTGCATGTTTGAGGCAGGGAAATCAGCAACACCATAATACAGATGCAGGCGCAACAGCGATAGCTTGGCAGTGCACTGGGGAGGAACAGACGGCGACATCGAAGAGGGCCCGAAGGCCGCCCTGATGATGTCATGTCAGAAGACTGTCCGTGGACCAGCGCTCCAAAATGGCTGGATAAACACCATAAAACATCAACTATGTTGTTTTCTTGTAGGGGGGCAGAAAGGTGTCATCAGTTAGTTGGCGTGAGGATCGTCGGCCTGGTTCCAAACTAATCGTAGAACCACTGAAACAAGAAACAAGTAATACAAGCCATTGTGACATGAATTCAAACGCTTCACCACGATAATTCCGAAACAACATGTCTAAAACCTATTGGCCTTTGGGGCCGACCAACATTTGTTTGCTATATGAGCCCGCACACGGGAACTATAGACTCTATGTGATGTTGCGCGTGTATATTTCCATTGGGCCCCAGGCCAACTAATTCGACTTAGTGGCGAAGATTTTTCGATTTGGTGACACTATGCCAAGGAAGCGATCTATTATGTCGCATTGCATGAGCTTCCCAAGCTGCGGTTGACCTCATGGGTTTTCCTACGTCACTGAGGACTTGGATGGGTCTGGCGAGGATGTTCCATGTTGCCGCCCGTGGCCGCATCGTGACCTCCTCATGCGCTGGGTGGGCTCGACGAGGTTTCGCCACGCTGCCGCCCGTGGCCGCCTTCTGCGCTGGGTGGGCTCGACGAGGTTTCGCCACGTTGCCGCCCGTGGCCGCCTCGTGGCCGCTTCGTGCGCTGGGTGGGTCAAGAGAGGCTTCGTCACGTTGCCGCCTCGTGGCCGCTTCGTGGCCCACCGCCTCGCGGCCGCCTCGTGCGCCGGTTGGGTCCGGTGAGGTCTTGCCACGGTGCTGCCCGTGGCCGTCTCGTGGCCGCCTCGTGCGCCGGGTGGGTCTGGCGAGGTGTCGCCACGTCGCCGCCCGTGGCCGCCTCGTGGCCGCCCCGTGCGCTGGGTGGGCCTGGCGAGGTCTCGCCGCCTTTACACCACCTGGCCTGATACCGCACAGCTTGCACCGCCATGGCTCACACCACACAGCTTACTTGCACGACAGAGTCACCCCCACAGTGCAATAACGCACGGCTTGGGTCCCACGCAGGCTAGCACCCTGTTTGTTTCCGAGTAAGGTGCCCCCCGGCCGACGAGCTCCACGCCGACTAAGATACGAAGCGCGTGCTGTTCTATCCGCACCACGAAAATGTTTAATGGTTTGTTGTTCGGGGCCGTTGCATCCTCCTCCTCCTCGCCCCTTCATGCTCTTACCCCTCTCCGTAATCTGTCTCGTGGCCCCGTCGTCTTTTCAGTTTGTTTCATACCCTGGTCGAGCAACAAATATAGAAGCAAGCAAACGCAGCGACCATCAGACACGCAGGCCAGGACCGACAATCACAGCTGGCAGTGCTATACACAGGCAGCGCACGTAACGAAACAGCAGTTCCATTAGCAAACAGCCGACCCACGGCTTACTCGGCGGCGAGCCCAGGGTGAAGGCAGAGGGGGCGGGCCTCCTCAGATGGCTCGGAAGGCTTCCGGCCTTCTTCGGAGGGTTCTAAGCCTTCCCGGAGGACACTGACAATTTCTAAGAAGGCCAGGGGGCTTCTGAGAAGCCCCGCCGCCTTCTGAGAAAGCCTCCTCCTTCTCTTTTCCCCACCCTCGCTCGCCGCGGAACTGCCACCACCACCCAGGGAGCAGGGACGCGAGGGCCGCCGAGGTCTCCGCGGACCTCACCGAGCTTGGGCGGACGCCGGTGTGCGTGGTGTGCGCGGGTGCGAAGAGCATCCTCGATCTGCCCAAGACGTTGGAGTACCTCGAGACGCAGGACTGGTAGGGAGGACAAGGGAGAGGGAGGAGGCCTGCTCAGAAGGTGTCTCAGTAGGCCGGTGGGACTTCCAAGCCCTCTGAGAAGGCCCGCCCCTCCTCACTTTCCCCCCCGGGCTCGCCGCCGATTGGTGGCGGACGCGAGCAAACAGTAACCAAACCCCCATCAATTCGAACACCTCGAGTCTCGTGCTTTTCTGCATTGTCGGCCTCCGGGGGCTGGCCTCGGGCCCGGGGACTTTCCGAGAACTGTTGAGGGCGAGAAGCCCGTCCCAGGAGCCGGGTCGCGAGGCCCATGACCCCGAGACTCGGTATCGTTTAACCGATCCCCATCCCCATCGCCATCCCCATCCAGACCGCCAGCATCCTTGCACCCCAGATGGGGACACACACACCCACACACACACACCTCGAAACCCGAAAGGAACGGCCTATATCCCCATCTAGGGGGTCAATCGGCCACTGGGGCCAAGGCCGCGTTCATGGGGATAGGGGTCGGTTAAACGATGCCCAGAGACTCGAAAAAAACTAGTCTTCGGACGTCTGTAGAAGCCGAGGGGGAAGCGGGGGACCGGGGAAAGGGATCGGGAGCGTGGACAGGGGCAGGGGCGGGGGCGGGGGACGACGACAACGACGAAGTAAGAGGGGAAGGCGAAGAAGGGGAAGGAAACGTGGGAGGGGGATGAGTGGGAGAAAGAAGGAGAGCGAGCAGCAGCAGAAGGTGAGGGAAATGCTGAAGACAAAGGCTGAGGGGAGAGATACTCGAGGAGGAGGAGGAGGAGGAGGAGCAGGAGGAGGAGGAGGAGCAGGAGGAGGAGGTGGAGGAGGAGGAGGAGGAGGAGCAGGAGGAGGAGGAGGAGCAGGAGGAGGTAGGAGGAGGTAGGAGGAGGTAGGAGGAGCCGCTGCCTCTCGGGGGGAGGGACCCCGCTGCCCAGCGTCCAAGTGCAGATCTAAGGTAATTCGCGCGGACCTCCGCAAGTCTGTGTGTCTGCACTCCGTTCTTCTGTGAAGGGAGGTGGGCAGGAGGGGAATCAGGGTGAAGTCGGGCGCCTGTCCCCTACAGGAGGAATATCCAACAACAGTACAAGAATAGTCGGGGGACGATCTTTCTACTATTTTGCTGCCACTCTTTTTGGGTGCCTGTTTGATCTGTTCCAACGTTGGCCCGACATCCGCCTGTATGAGGACATGCCCGACCGAACATTAGGATCAGGAGCTCTGGCTGTGCGTGTCGCGCCGCCAGTTCTGGTCCACCAGGCCTCGGCGCGGCACGCTGTCCACGGTCCCAGTCCCCACTTGGCATCGCTCGGACGTGTGCACTTTTCCTTCGGCGAGGACCATCGAGGAGCACCCTTGATCATTTGGCGAAAAAGCCACGCACGAAACCGACAAAAAAAACACAGGGAACGGACGTCCGAGCGATGGCCAGAATGCAGGTCTTGCTTTCGGTGCCTCCCGGGGCGCTGCCCATCCGAGACAGGAGACCGCCTGCCCAACGGCGGCCGCTGTCGGCTTGGGACCACGTCTACCGTTGGGCATCGTGCCCACATTTCCGTACGTTCGGCCCGAGATAGAAGATCAAGGTCGGTGCGGGGGGTACCCCAATGTTCTTCGTGATGTGTTGGATGCGATTGTGCATATTGGGGGAGGGCACCCTCGAGTGATCTTCTGATTTGGGGTGCTTTGGCCGGCGGAGGTGCTTTCGTTGTTGAGGGATGTTTTTCTTATTTTAGGTCCGACCGCACCCATCATACTGGGCGTCCACATCAGCAAGAGTTGCCGACCGCAAGTGCGGACGGCAGAACAGGGTAGGAGGAGGAGGAGGAGGAGGAGGAGGAGGAGGAGGAGGAGGAGGAGGAGGAGCAGGAAGAGGAGGAGGAGGAGGGAGGAGGGAGGAGGAGGAGAGGAGGAGGAGGAGGAGGAGGAGGAGGAGGAGGAGGGGGGGGGGGGAGGAGGCGGAGGAGGAGGAGGAGGAGGAGGAGGAGGAGGAGGTTGGTTTGTTGGTTGGTTGGTGTCCTCCTAGTGAGGCGGCAGTGGGGGGGCGCGGGCACGGCCCATTTAGCAGAGGGCAGCAGGGCCAGAGGATGGCGACTGCCGCGACCCCGCAGCGTCTGCTCAGGGGAAAGGAACGACACCGCCAGCGGGGCTAGAGGAAGAGGAGGGGGAGGACAGGGGGCGAACCAATGAACGCCCGGCTGAGCTTGGCCCCGCTCTTCGCCTAGGAGAGGGGGAGCCGCTTTTTGGCCTTGGAAGCAAACGCGATGGAGAAGAGGGGAAGGCCAGGGGAGGAGGGCCTCACGGCGACTCCCTCCCACGGGGACCCCCGCCCGTACTGCCAGCCGCCTCGTGTCAGCGCAGGACGCAGCTGCGAGACTGAGAGAACGGAGGGAGAGGGGGTCACCCCAGGAGAAGCAGAGATTTGCGTTACTCGGCTCCCATTGGCTTGGCCCAGAATGACGCCTCCTCCTTTTCTAACAAGCTTGCCAGCGCGGCCGCCTCTGCGTAGCCAGCCTCCCCTGGTCGTGAGTTCAATATCGCCCTTGTGGTGGCTTCCCGCGCAGGCGGAGCGCCCGCTCGGCGAGCGAGCTAATATGCCTGCCGCGTGGTCTCCGTCCGCTCGCACGCTGCAAGAACGCGGAAAGTGGGGCTGTGCGTGAGGACCCTTTCAGCAGATGCAATGCTGGCGATGAGCCCAGGAACGCGCCCCTCCGATGTGCGCAAGGCGGACAAGGCAAACGCGTAATCGGGCGAGCGGTCGCTGGCCCCGCAGCTCAGCCCAGCCCAGGCCTGACGACAGGGCCCGGCGTAGATCCTGCCGGACCCCCCCGCCCAGGGTCCAGTAAGGTAACGGTCGCACGTGCTTGATGAGTTCCTGCTTAAGGAGCCTGCGGCATCGCTCCTGAGGCAGAGGAGGAGCAGGAGGAGGAGGAGAAGGAGGAGGAGGAGGAGGAGGAGGAGGAGGAGGAGGAGGAGGATCAGGAGCAGGAGGAAGGTCAGGAGCAGGAGGAGGAGAAGCAGGAGCAGGAGCAGGAGCAGGACGAGGATGAGGAGGAGGAGAGGAGGAGGAGGAGGAGAGAAGGAGGAGAGCAGGAGCAGGAGCAGGACGAGGACGACGAGGACGAGGAGGACGGAGGAGGTGGAGGGGAGGAGGAGGAGGAGGAGGAGGGAGGGAGGGCGGGAGGGCGGGAGGGAGGGGAGGGCGGGAGGGCGGGAGGGCGGGAGGGCTGGGGCGGGAGGGCGGGCGGGCGGAGGAGGAGAGGCGGGAGGGGCGGGAGGCGCGAAGGAGGAGGAGGAGGAGGAGGCGGAGCGGAGGAGGAGGAGGAGGAGCAGGAGGAGGGGAGAAAGAGGGGGAGGAGGAGGAGGAGGACGAGGAGGGAGGAGGAGGAGGGGGGGAGGAAGAGGAGGTGGAGAGGAGTGGAGGAGGAGGAGGAGGAGGAGGAGGAGGAGGAGGAGGAAGAGGAGGAAGAGGAGGAAAGGAGGAGGAGGAGAAAGAGAAGGATGATGATGAGGAGGAGGAGGAGGAGGGGGAGGAGGAGGGAGGGGGGAGGAGGGAGAAAGGAAAAGGGAGGAGGAGGAGGAGGAGGAGGAGGAGGAGGAGGGAGGCAGGAGGGGAAAAAGGAGGAGGAGGAGGAGGGAGGACAGGGGTGACAGGGATCATGATGATGATGATGATGAGGAGGAGGAGGAGGAGGAGGGCCATGATGAGCGTGATGGTCGTGTTGATGATGATGCGGATGATGATGGTTACGATGCCGATGATGTTGATGATGATGGTAATGAGGGTGATGTTGTCGACGTTGATGCTGATGATAAGGTTGATGGTGCTGATATTTCGACGGTGATATGGTGGCGTTGGTGATGCTGGTGGTGGTGATGGTGCGGATGATGACGGTGATGATAATGTTGATGATGGTGATGATGTCGATGTTGATGTTGGTGATAATGTTGACGGTTCTGATACTTCGATGGTGATATGGTGGCGTTGGTGATGCTGGTGGTGGTGATGGTGGCGGATGATGACGGTGATGCTGATGATGATGATGATGATGACGATGTTGATGTCTGTGTTGATGTTGATGATGATGGTGATGATGCTTATGATGATGGTGGTGATGATGATGATGGTGATGATGATGCTGCTGATGATGATGGTGATGCTGATTATGATGATGATGCTGATGATGCTGATGATGATGATGACGACGACGATGATGATGATGATGCTGCTGATGATGATGATGATGATGGTGATGGTGATGATGATAATGATGATGATGATGATGAGCATGATCATGATGATGGTGATTATGATGATGATTGATGATGATGATGATGATGATGATGATGATGATGATGATGATGATGATGATGATGATGATGATGATGATGATGATGATGATTGATGATTGATGATTGATGATG